AAAATGCCTATTAGAATGTAGAATATAACTTAGTAACTAAAAACATTAACAAAAAAACTCAGTTGTATTTTAAATGAAGTCCTTTTAATTAAAATTATAAAAAATCAAACATTTATGATTATTATACTTAGTGAAATACTTATTAAATAAAAATTAAAAAACCTTAAAATAATTTTTTTTTTATAGTTTTTTTTGTAGTATTTTTTTTTGCTGGAGCAACTTTCTTGATGTTTGATTTGATTTGACTACTTGATTTTGGTCTGGTACTTTCTTTATTTTCAGTAGATAATTTGTCATAAAACTCATGATACTGCTCTGGAATTAAGTTGGAATGACATAAAGAAAGTAAATCTTGTTTTTTTGCAATTGATATTTTTGGTGGTTCTGTATAAGCTTGTTTCATAATTATGGTACTTTTTTCAGGGTAAGATTTATTCCGTTTACTGTAACTGCGTATATCAATTGTTTTAAAATCAGGTTGGGAAAAATCTGTCTTATAATGTACAATAAATGGTTTTTCTTTTTTAACATTCACTTCTACAATGTCACCCATCAAAAATTTTTCTCCTTGCTCATTAACATTAAAAATTTGTTCCAAGTTCATTACATAAAGTAGATAGGTCGAAGAAATCTTTTGTATCCATTTCAGTTGTGGTATACGGTTTTCCATTTTTTTTAGCCAATTTAATTATTGAAACCCACTGTGCTGGAATATACACTGGACCACTTTTCAATGCACGTTGCTTTTGTGTCTCAATACGACTGTGCATAGAATCAACTAGCATTTGAGTATGACCATTAGTTAAAAATTTGTGAGTTATCTCTAGTACATCTAAGAACATCACAATATACATATATATATATAAACTGAGTAAATAAACCGGTTTTTATTCTGACCATTACAATTATCAGAATAAAATATTAATTTTTTATCTTTATCTGTTACAAATGTTTCAATAAATTTAATGATACAACTGCCTATTTCTACAGCTCCTCTATTACCAGTACTCTCATTCCATACAAAACAATGCCCTTCTTTAGTGTATGAATTAAAAACTGTAAAATTGTATGTAGAAAGTCTTCTCTTATAATAAAAAGATGATACTTCACCAGATGGTGTTGGCAATACAGCTTGTAGATCATAAAAATATACTCCTATATTATATTTATTAGTGCTTATTGCAGTAGTATCTTTAATAATTTCATTTCTAGCATTTTCTTTGGCCTTAATATGTTTTTCAAATTTGTTTATTAATTTTCTTCAGATTTTGTAGTTGTATTTTTATACTCTTCACAAACAGCACATTGATCTTTCTTAGGATTGAAAAATCCAATACTAAATTCATGATTGAAGATGTCTTTGTAAGTATGTTTTTTCACAGGTTGAAGAATCGAATTATCAGAACAAAAAGTTAAATACATACCATACATTTCAGAAAGTGTTAAGCTACCATCAATAAAATCTCTGGTAGTAATCTATGTTATTTTGAGATGATACACTAATGCACCAGTATTTTTGAACATACTTTTGTGAATTATAGTAATAACTCAAAATAATACACTACTGCATGGATTGAATTTATTTATTTCCTTTAATGTTGTACCATATTATATTGTTTAACGCTTTTAATTTTGCCAGTACGACATAATACACTAGTGCATTGCAAAGAATGCTATTTTTACCATAAGAAAACATGTATAACTCAAAATCGTCATTTTTTGAGTTACTACACTAATGTACTAACAGTGCGATATGACATATGACATGCGTTTACCATGTGTAAAAGATGAGTGTAAAATGTGAAAAAATGGTGTGTTTCTAAGATGAAGTCACATAAAGTTCTCAATTACTGATTATCCGCATTTATGCATACGCTCTTTAAAATAGTTAAGTTCCTAAAAAAATATATATAAATTCGCAAGGCTGGGCATTAAAGAGTTAAACAATTAAAGTTACTTAACTAGTTACTTTTGGATTTTCATTAACTCTGTTAACTTACTAAATTTATTTTTTAATTAAAGTGAAATTAACGAATTAATTTTTAATATTAATAAGCAAGTTAAGTTAATTTATTTTGTTTTTAATTTTATTATATTTCACTATTTCAGACTATTTCGTTTTCATGTCAAAAAATATTTACCGTGAATTGCTTAAAGTTAAAAATGTATATCATTCGAATTTAACTTATATGAAAAAACTGTATAAAGTATAAACTATAAAATAAACACTGTAGTCTATAATTTAGTTTTGGATTGGAAAAAAATTAAGTACCTACGCTAGCGTTGTATAAACAAATTAACTATTTTTTAGCTTAATAAAAAGTTAACAAAAAGTGTGTATTAACTTTTAACTTAACCGAGTTAACCTATATTTAAATTAACTTTTAACTTTTTTGTTATTATAGTGCACATTAACTTAACTTGACTGAGTTAAAAAAATCCATTAACTCGCCCAATCTTGTAAATTTGTAAAAGACGTGGAACTAGAGCGTTGTGCACAGTGACAAATTTTCAATTTTTTTTCTGGGGGGGGTCCAATAATTCTGGCATAATATAGGTAGGTACTGATTTAAAGAAATAATATTTTATGGATTATAAGAAAAGAAAATAGTTTTATATTACATTTTAATAGGTACCTACTTTAAATTTCATCGTCTAATTTTAACACAAGTATATTTTATAATTTTAAAGTACAAAATCAAATAGTCTTTTTTTTTTACAAAGTTCAACCAAAATGTCTTGTGGTACGAGAGAATCTTTTGAATTGTAGAAATATGACATTATGACAATAATCGTCCATATCACCAACTAATCTCTGGACAGAAAATAAATAGGACGTAGGTAAACGGGGTTTAGTAAGTTCCCACACGAAAAAAATTACACCCGTACGTAAGTTCCCACACGACAATTTATTCAGACTTAAGACTGACAACTTAGACGTAGTTGGTCCAAATATATAATACAAATTAATAATATAATGTGAAGGTATGGTCCACATATTATTTGTACTTTCGCTAGTGTTTTGTGGTAAGACTTGTATCAGAACTAGCACTAGCTCAAATACTAGGGGGGGAACTATATCAATAACAAAATATCAGATTATATCTTAAAAATAATTACACGGTACGTATGACTATCAGACTATGTGAAGTGTTTGAGCTTTCGCAATAAGCCAAATAAAATTTAATATTTTCTATTACTATTATTATGATTATTATAACTATTATTATTTTGTACCTATACAAATAAATAATAATATGTGGACCATACCTACACGTTATATTATTGATTTTTATTATATATTTGGACTAGATTCAATTAGAAAATTGATTAGACTTTTTTTATGCAACACAAAAACAACACATTTTAACCACACCAACTACATTTAAGTTGTCAGTCCTAAGTCTGAATAAAGTGGGAAGGAAGTTTGTATTCGGTGTAATTTTTACCTGATATATCTCGTGTGGGAACTTACATTCACCCAGGTAAACATGGTGCTTAATGAACACTAATATTGTCAGCAGTAAACGCCTCGCAAATAACATTAATGTTTTTATCTATTATTAAAAATAATATAATATTCCTTACGGTTCACATGAGATCAATGAGCTATTGATATTTGCTTTTTTTTTAATTATTATTATTTACTAATTTATTATATATTTATTTGGTACTTACAGCGTAATAGATATTATTTATTAAACTGAAAAAATATACCCGCCATTGGTATTGAGTGAGCGCTGAGCTCACCTCGTTGTTTTTTCGTCATTATTTATTATGTGTAATGAACATAAAATATTGAAACCAACTGCAAATTATTTATAGTTTAATCTTTTACAAAGAATGTTCTTACAATTTATTATGAATAATTGTTAACCCCTAAAAATAAGTTTATAATTATTTTATACATAATTATATAATAATATAATCATTATCATTCATATTTCATCTTGACCATTGGTCTGGAGTATTTTGCTGATTATTATACAGTACGCATAAATGCATAATATGAACGTTGTGTGCTCCTTGAAAATAGGTCCGAGTTTACGAACAAGTATTTGGTTGATCTATCAACACTCAATTTATTGATATTAAGTATTAACAACATTGCATGTCGATAATATCTAATCGAGAATTATTTATAAAATTATTTTATTAGCAAAAGTAAATTTAAGCATTAGTCGATTGAAGGTATAAATAGTATCAGACGAATCAACCATCAAGTAATAAAATATAAATAAGTGGCTGTCAAAATACTAACAAGGCGAACGCCGCACAAGGTCACATCGCGACCACCGACGGGTTTAATATTATGAACTTACTGTCTAGTGTACTCGTACTTCGTAGCCGCCGCCGTCGTTCGATAACGAAATACCACAGATATAATATTGTTATATAATAATGTGTATAAATATATACATTAATAGTTATATATAAACACGAAGTAAATATAATATAATATATGATTGTATGATAATATTGCCTTGTTTACAGAACAAAAATTCAAATGGACTAATAATAGCTGCCAATAGAAATAGTATTGGAGAACGATGTGCGTCGTCAACTTCTCGCAATGTTTCGACTTGTTACACATAATAATAATAATAATAATAATATGAAATAACGACAATCCGACACGCGTCTGACTAGCAGCGCTCGGCAGTTAATGGAACTACGCCGTAACGAGTTCTAACCATTGAACTATATAATAATATATTATTATATAATATGTTATTATATAGTTCAATGGTTCTAACCGCCGATCCAGCCCGCGAATCGCGAATCGCCAATCGTGGTTAAATTGTGGTTACCGTCAATAACCACGATCCTTAATACTTATTAAATATATTCACATATACAGTCATTTGCATTTTGCTCGTCGTCTGGCTCCGGCTCCTCGTGGCAACTTGGCAAGTTTCATAAAATATTTTTATTTAGTTATCTTCTCGTCGTTTCGCTTCGCCTCCTCGTGACGAATTATAATATTTTTATAATTTATCATGAGCCGTCAAGCAGGGACTTCCTGGGACGATCTAGTCATTCCGATGGACACTCCTAATAACTTCTATAGACATGACAGTGGATCGGAAGTAAGACACAACAATTAATTAGAATCTATTAATTCATCAATAGAAATTAGAAATAATCATTAACAGACTTAGGTACTTTTCGTAAGGATCGGGGTCCTAAATTTTTCATAAACACCATTTCATCGACCACGTGGTAGCGTGTCAAGCCAAGTTCTTGCTAACAGAAATGGCGAACAGCACCGTGGGTAATATTACACGAACCATTTGGAGCCACTTTTGAACCACTTAGGTATACCTAACTCGAAATATATTCCACATAAACATGTCAATTTTTTTTTTCCTTTTTTATTATATACACAATCTGTACCTCATGAGTACAATAAGAGTATTAGCTGAGTTAAATAAAATACATGAATAAGCATGATAAAACCAGTGATGACACTTAAAATTTGGCTCATATATTCAGACTTACGAGATACATATGTTCTCCAAATTTCATAAACTCACCTAAAACCCCTATTTAGATATTTACGTCCCAAAATCGTAATTTTTATCACTCACTGACTGACTAACTGGTTGACATAGGTACCTATAGATCAAAATTCTAACCCAGTTCCAGATGACCTAGAAAGTTCAAATTTGGCATACAGATAGGTAGTTAGGTTAGTACAAAGGAAAATGTATTAAAATTATTATTATATTAATTATTATTTTTCAATTAATTAAGTGCCTCTAAATCTAATCTAATTTTAATATAGGTAATGTTGACTTAAATAGCTCCGCTAACCTTTCCCGTATTACCACTCCAAAAATACGTCCAGTCTAATATGTGTCGATATTGGCGACCCGCGCGCAGCAACATACTTTTTTCCTGTGTATGTAATTAATATTTATTTAAAAAAAAAATACAATTTAAATAATTAAATAATTTATCTTACGATTATGAATTGCCCACCCACCAGTAGAAATTATAGTAAATAAAATTATGATAGTTAAAAATATACTCAAAAAGAGATAAAATAATTTTATATTTTATACTCTGTATAGGTACAACATAAAATATTGTTAGTAACTGAATTATAGTATATAGTAATAAACTTTATTTATAGAATACATCATAGCTAGGTTAGGTTTTAATAATTTAAGTAGTAGGTACATACCAAAAGTAATGATATCCCATCAAAAACATATATGTAAAATGAGAGCCAAGTTCAATACTATAATACATGCCTTGGTTGTTGACTTCAACAATAAAAGAAGTGAGATCTAAATGGGTGCCAAGTTAGGATAATATATTGAAGCCTAAGGTCTTTCATTCGCAAGTTCTAAAGCTTTGAGTTCTTATTTTATTCTTCGTAAAATCAACTTCACTCTTCCATTACTGTTTTAGTAGGTACTTAATAATAATTTGTGTATGAAAACTAGCAGAGTGACACTTAGGCTTCAATATATTATCCTAACTTGGCACCCATTTAGATCTCACTTTTGTCGTTAAAGTCAACAACCAAGGCATATACAGGGTGTCCCGTGAGGATTTACTCATTAGCCGTAGAGGGGGACTCGCCGCCCGGACGAAAACCAGTTTATTGACGTTTTACTAATAAACTAAAAAAATTATTAAAAATCATGAGATTAATGAAAATAAAATGTTAAAAGCTCAAAATGTTCACAAAAATATACTCTATAGAATGGCTATCTTCAATTTTTTAAAAAATAAAAAAATAATTTTTTTAACCTTTTTACTAAAAAATTTAATTTAATTAAAAAATAAAATATTTGTAGTGCTTACCTCTGCGAGTCTTAATAAAAAAACATAATTACGATATCTCCATTATTTCAGGAGATATCGCAATGAGTAAATCCTCACGGGACACCCTGTATTATAGTATTTAACTTGGCTGTCATCTTACATATATGTTTTTGGTGGGTTTTATTCACTCTGTAACATTCTTACAATATATATATTCAATTTTAGGACGAGGAAAATGTACCGAATGTGAAAAAAATGCGTATGTTAACTAAGATTCAAGAGCTTATAGAAGCAGAACTACAATTGGAAAGAAGTAAAAAACGCGAAAAAGAATTAATTCAAATTCAAGCAGATCCACAAAATCCTGATCACTTTGACCAATTATTGTCGTCTAATCCCAACAGCTCGTTTATTTGGATTAAATACATGGATTGCCATGTACAAGTAATAATTAATTTCATTTTAAAATTACTAAAACTTATAATTTATACCACAGAGCTACAATTTTGACTTTTAACCATTGTAAATGTTATTTTACAATGTTTAAACATTAAATATCACTTATTGAATGTAGTATTGTAGTCTATAACTCATGATTTACACTTGTAAAATTAATATAAAACCTCATAATAATTTTTCTTACGTTAGTCCCTGTTTAATTAAAATAATTGTGAAAATGTGTGTTGTGATTAAACATATTAATTATTATTTTAATTTATAGGCTAAAGATCTAGAAAAAGCAAGGGCAACAGCAAAAAGAGCATTGTCTACAATTCATGCTGGAGAAGAGCAAGAAAAACTAAATATTTGGACTAAACTTTTAGCTTTAGAAGAATTACATGGCACCAAGGTAAAACGATTAAAAATTAGGTTTATTTTTAGGGGATTCGATACCGTGATTTTCTGTTTTTGTCTAACACACGGGCGACATAGTATTTTAAACGTGTTTTTTGCCAAACATTCCAATTGATCTATTGAAGTGATAAGATTTCTTAAAACAGATTTGAATTTGTCGTCAGGTCTACTTGAAATCGACTTTCCCACATTTTTGATTTTAACTTCTCCAATAATTGAAATACCAGAATTTTTAAATACTCTTTTTGAATATGACATTTTAAAAAATGTGGGAAAGTCGATTTCAAGTAGACTTGACGGCAAATTCAAATCTGTTTTCAGAATTCTTATCGCTTCATTAGATCAATTAGTATGTTTGGCAAAAAACACGTCTAAAATACTATGTCGCCCGTGTGTTAGACAAAAACAGAAAATCACGGTATCGAATCCCCTTAAAATTGAATTACTTTCAACTGAATTGGTTATTAAATATTCAGCGTTCTAATAATTATAACTGCCTACATATTGGAGAGAAAATTGGGTACACATACCTATCTTCATTCCTAGATTTTTGAAATGTTGATATGTTATATCGGCGCTTTCAAATAAATTTTATAATAATTCATTAATATTTTTGCTTTATATATTATCATATTAATAGTTAAGAACAAATAAAATAATATCATTTATTATATTTTAGGAAACATTTAAACAAACAATGGATGACGCATTACGTTCATGTGATGAATATCAGATTTATATAAAAGTATTGAAGATGTTTGCAAAATCTAGTAAATTAAAAGTACAGTTTGATAATAATTAATAACAATTCTTTTGGTACTTCTTGTTATTGCCTAGCCACTGTGCCTTGTAAAAAAAATACTCTGACACACGGTCAGTCTATTGTACTATGATATGTTTTATATACCGCAACAGAACTAAAAGTAAATAATAATAATAATAAATTGTTTACAATTAATAGTTGCACAGTTAAAAATGTTTTAATGTCTCATAATTACATATAAGCAAATTAAACAGTTTTATAAAGATTCTTGAATGTCTGAAATTTTGTTTTGTTTTAACAATATATTTTTGTTATAAAAATTTAATACCACTAATGGCAGTATTAAATATTGCAGGAAATAACTTAGATAACTCTTTGAAATTAATTTTTTACAATATTCTATAATAAGCTAATAACGGTTATAAGATATGTACCGACTTATATAGTTATACACACCTACAATATAACTACAAGTCTGCTACATACTAAAGTCATTAAAATAGAATTTCAAATAATACAAGTAGTATTTGTCCTTTTCTTTAAATATCTCACATACTAAATTAAAAGTAAGATATAGAAATACAGAGAAATATCAAAATTTTAGATTAGGTAAAGTCTGGTGGCAGGATGATAAATTTTATACAGCCCAGGGGCAAGGCAATAACAAACAAGCACCTAGTTCTATAGTAAACTTTATTTTGAATGATTTTGTTTCATTTTAGGAACTAGATGAATTAATTACAGAAATAAATGGAAAGTTTAGTAATTCTATTGATGCTTATCTACAATGTGCTACTGTGTACTTCAAACTAAATAAATCTGACAAAGCAAGATTTATTTTCCAAAAAGCATTATCAAATCTTCCGGCCAAATCACGTATGTTAACTTATATATTAACACGTTCGCTGCATAAAACACCAATTAGAGTCATGTACCTTGTTATTTAATGAACTATAATTTGGTCAGCAATACGATTAAACTTTTGATTTTTTGTCAGCATCTTCTATAATCAGGTGCGAATCGTACACTGATATTTTAATTTTTCAATTTTTAGGAAATTTTTTCCATTCCATTTTTTTCACAAGTATACAAAAATATGATACACAGTGAACATATTACATAGCAATATAATAAATTTCTTAAATCATAAAATCATATAATAAATTTAAAAAAAAACACTTACAAAATGTGATTTAGTTGGTAATGAACAGTGGTGAACTTAAAGTTTTGTCAAAGATTAGTCTAGTATTTTACCCACCCCGCAGCACCAATAGCCCGATAAAGACATTTATTATCATATTATGAGGATGTGGTACCCACATGTGTTGTCTCCGTCTTACAAGCGTAACATAGCAAATTTTACGCTCAGCAGAACACTTGTAGCAAAAAGTTATAAAGTTGGAGTGATTTGACTTATAAAATCTAAAGGTAAGATTATTATCTAGGCAACCTCGTGGGCTTTTTATTATGTTTTAATTTAAAAATGAGTTAAGTATTTAAAAGTTGTAAATTGTTTGTACATCTTTAAATACTCATAACTCGCATTAACACATTCACTGCGTCAAATAATTAGTTGGGACACGTTAGATGCGTCACAAAATATATCAATGTTCGCTAGGAGCGTGCCACCAATTCGGACATTTTAATTAGTGTCGGAAAAATCAACAAAATAAGTTATTTATAAAATATGGATTGGACTGAAATAACAAGAAATTTCTATGCAGAGGCGTGTGTAAAAAAAACATTAGTCTAGTGCGTCTCTATTTTATAGCACATTTAATTCAACGGACTAATTGATGTCGGCTATATCCAAAAGGCGCACCGTGAAAAAACCAATCCGTCGGATATAGCCGACAAACGCACCGAATGTTTTAAAATTAAAATATTATAAAAAGCCCATGAGGTTGTCTAGATAATAATCTAACCTTTAGATTTTATAAGAGGTCAATTCACTCTAACTTTTAAACTAATGAAGCTGCACGTGTTCTGATGAGCATAAAATTTGCTATTTTACGTATTTCTTAAACTAAGACAACATTGCGTGTAGCACATCCTCTTAATTATAACTACTACTACTACCTGTTGTAGTTATTACAAAATACTATAGTTAATACTAAATTATCAATTACTGGTCATTTTAACCATCCACCACCACTTAAGAAACCTAGAGGCCTCTTGATTGCCTCCTTCACCACGCCGTAAGGAAGTTCTGTTCTCAAATAAAAATGAGATAATAATAAAATATTTACATGGTTTAAGTCGTTACAAAACATATTTTTACTTTTTGAATGACAACATATAATATTTTAATTTCATATTCCAATGCAAAATACTTTTAGTATTTCGATAGGTACATACAATTTAAATTTAAAACGATTTATTTTTCTATTGTTCTCACAAAAAAAAAAGAGACACTTGCCTTTAAATCCACATTCTATTTATAAATAAAATGCAAATATTAAAAATGGACGAAAATTGCCTACACGGGTTACACTATTGATATTTTTGTGCAATACTATAATAATATATTAATTCATTTTTATTATAACTTTTTCTATTTAAAAGATATCACTATGATAAGTGAATTTGCTTTGATGGAAAATAGTGATGGATCGCCAGAAGAAGCACAAACACTTTTTGAAAATGTCTTAACTTGCCATCCTTCACGTACTGATATATGGTGTTTATATGTAGATATGATGATAGAATCTAACAAAATAGATTTGGCAAGGTAAGAACACTTTAATTCTAACCAATATATTATTCCTCAAATGTCCATCATAGATTGTTTCATAATAATATAAAATTAATTTTTATGATTTTAGACGAATATTAGAAAGAGCAACATCACAACAATTAGTACCAAAAAAGAAGAGAATTATGTTAATTAAGTGGATGACGTTTGAAGGAAAGTATAGGACTCATGAAGCTATGATGAAGTATCAAGAAAAAATGAGAATGTATGATGATTTAAAGGATGAAAACAAAAAATAATAACCTACCTAACCTTGAACAGTTAATAAAAAAAACAATAATATTTTAATAATTAATTATTGTAATTGTTTTGCTATAAATATCTAGAACCTATAATCCTATGAATCTATTGTTTTTCATACTTTGTGTATTTAAGTTTCTCATTCTCATTACAATACAATTGATAACCATTGTACCTATTTAAAAAAATTAATTATCTTATCTCACAGACTCTTTAATACTTGGGTTATAACTTTATGAGTTTTGTTAAACTTTACAAAAATATTTACTGAATTTCTCACAGTATAAGTTTGAAATATTTGTTTTTAATATAATTCATACAAATGAACAACATGAAGTATATAATAATATAAAAAAAGTACAATTCATAACTTTTATAACTGTCCACGTTGTGTTATGTATAACAATAGGTATTTTTGGTTTGTTGTTGGGACCAGTAGGAACATTTTCAATTGTTTTCATTACCAACAACCCATCAATGACATGGCCAAATACCACATGTTTTCCATCCAAAAAGTTGCAGTTTGCACAAGGAATAAAACACTGACACCTGTTGGTATCTATACCACTGTTTGCCTATTGTGGAGAATATAAAAAATAATTTATACATTTACCATTGATAAAAGTCCAGGTGCATCATGGTTGAGTTTAAAATGTATCTGCTCCGTATATAGTCATAACCCCAGTTCCATCACCCTAAATAATTAAGAATTGTTAAACAAAATATTGATTTATGCAAATTGAGTATTTATTATTTAAAAATTGAAACTTACATTTACAAAATCTCCACTGGCTATCTTGTTGTATGCGCTCTACCCCAGATAGCGGTTTACGTGAGATGTGAATTTGTATTATACAATGGTATAAAACTGTATTATACGAGGAATTATACACATGGTATGAAAAAAAATAAGGTGTTATTTTTAGTTATTACCATGTTTAAAGATAATTAAGTACCATTTTGATATGCAAATAATGAAGTAATAAGCATACTACAATAAAATTATCGGCTTATTGCCATTTAATATTTATACAATTTTAGTAACTCAAATATTAATTTTTTAGCAGTTCCTATGTATAGAATGGTCTCCAATAAAATACAGTATTATTATAAAAATTAAAAATATAAAATATAATTGTAATCATGTTTATTTAGCATTCAGGTGTTAAAAATAACTTGCATCAATTTATTGTACTATTATAATATTGTAAATTTAGGTACAATGTGATAGTATATAACTAAATAAATATTAAGTACTAAGTATAGTTTTCTATATACTTATATTTAAAAATTAAACATAAAAAACATATACCCTAATACCTATTTTTACTTAAACTTTTTAAAGATTAAATAATTTAGTTTACTAAATCTCTTACATTAAATATAAGTACTTAGTACATACAAAAAAAAAAAAAATTTGGGACCAAAAAGTTAGTAGATACCTATATTTATATACTAGTTGGCAGATAATAAGGTTACTCAAATCCTAATTTATTTTGAAGTTAATTTGGTATTCTAAGAATATAATTTTCCATGAAATGTGAATTATAATTAAAATATTTTAAATTTAAGTTATTTCTAGTCACTAGGTATATGGACATATGGTACCTACATCATGGTAGCATGACTAAAATATTGATTTGGTGAATTGAGTCTAAAATTATTCTTGTATTATGTGTTTTTTAAATGTTTTCTGAGACTGACCTAGTCACTTTTTAAATTATTAATCCATTTTAGAATAATTCATATTTTATAATTAACCGTGGGGTTATAACCTTTGTTAAATTTCCTATAATACAAGGTAGGTACTGCAAGGTTCTATACGGTATAATACTGTATTATACAAAACAAAAATAAAATACCATATTTTAACATCTCTACGGCTAACTACTATGGATTTATATCTTTATTATGGTGGTAATGAAGATTAGGACTCTCTTCCTGCATCACAATACTCGAGTCCGCACTTTACACACGATTTTATATTGACGTTCAAAATGATTGCAAAAGAATTTTACAAAAGTGTACAAAACGAAGAATCGGTTACTAATTTTTTTTTAATTGCGAAAAATCTCTTAGTAAATGTAGAAAATATACAGTGCGATAAATTTGATAGTGTAATGAAGTATTACATAAAAAAAGAAAATCATTACATAAAGAAAGAAAGGAAATAATTGTTGAGGTGTAAAAGGAATGGGTGTCAAACCAATCCATAGCATAATAAGGTAAGAAACGTAGGTGCTATTTAATATTTCATGTATAATAATATAATATTAATTACCAATATATTGAGAAAGAACAATAGTTTTTGGACGTACATTGACAAAAATGGCCGTAACAATAGTGTATTGAGCATCGGTGCACAACTCGAACTGGTTTATTATTGCCTAAGCCTATTGCTATCAAAATATAAAACAGACTATAGTATAGTCACTATACAATATATTATGACTTTAACCGGTAGATCAGATCAAAACAGTGTGTGACCAGATGGACTTGTGTCGTGATGTACTTGTCGGAATGTTTTAAAATCGTATTAAATTTGTAGGACTCGAGATAGTGATCCAAGTGGACGAATGCTTATTAAGAGGGTCGAGGAAAAATAATAAATGTCGACTTCGACTTGCAGATTTATGAGACGAAAATCTTAACGTCGACAACGAATCCGACTCGGAAAATGTTAATCCTCTGGAAAAAGGAGCAAGACACTATGGAAGACGGCTTGATGGACCATAACGTTACGATAACGAAGGAAAGTATTTTGTTGTCCAAAAAAGGGACAAAACGACTTTGCACTAAATTATACAAAGAGAGGTTATTGTTCGGTCTACAATACATTCCGATGGCTGGTCAGGGTATAATGGACTCTCGGAGAGGTATGAATTAAAGTGACACATTTAACGCATTTTTGAGGGACATGGCATAAGTATTTTAATGTATATATTTTATTTAATTTTAAGTTTTTTTTATATTTATTATTTAACTTTATATTCAATTTTATATTTATAATAAATTATTAACGAAACAAACAACGAGACGATGATGAACGGTGCGTTATATCCACTGGATATACAAATTTGACAATTTATTCCGTTCAAAATATTTCGTTGCACAAACCAGTAAATTATTATTATAAAATGATGAACTAAATAATTATATACCTATTTATGTTTAGTAATTACAATGTAAACACAAGTTTTGGAAGCCAATAACTATCGTCTATGGCATAACAACTAATAGAATAGTTATGGCCATGATCATGGTTATGGCTTGAAATTTTAACTGCTCAAAGAAGTTGTCCCTGTGTTCTAAATACTCCTAATCAAATTTCTGTCAAAATGAAAAAAAATGTAATGATATTTAAATCACGGGTGTACCGTATGCATGCATAAGCGGCACTTAAACTCATGTGGGTGCAAACGCTTGTGTTAGTAAAATTCACAAATCCGTAAGGGGAGTTGCCCCCCCCCCATCACAATCCCTAATATATAAACTGCTACAATAAAAGTACCTAGTAAATCAAATTTCTTTGTTTTATAACTGTAGGTATCTCTGTATTTCAATATTATAACAAAGCAACTATTTGTTTTTACATAAATAATAATAAAAAGGTGGGCAAGTGGGTGTCTTTCTGCTGTACAGTAGGTTACAATAGTGGGTCACTGTAATGGATGGTGTTATATTTGAATTCAATGGCACAATATCATTGTATAAGAAAAACAATTCTGAGCAAATTTTTATATATATAAGTTCTTCGAGTTACCTATTACCATAAAAATTTGCAGAATTTCATACTTAATATTTTAGTATACTTAAAATAATAATTTAAGCACCATTTTACCTTTGTTTTATTGTAAATCTGATTTTTTTGTGCCTTGTGTCATTATTTCTGCTTAAAAAAATCATTTTATGTGGCCGTACATCATATAAAATATTTGTTTTGCCAAGCAGAAATTAAAAAATTAAAATATAGTCTAATATTTTTCAGTGTTCTAGTTGTCTGTCTGTGGGTGAAAAAAGATACTTTTGCCTCCCAGGAAAATTGTCTTGGGTGCAGCTTCACCCTCATGATAATAATTTGACTGATTTGGACATACGGTATTCAGTTATGGGGTTCTGCAAACCCATCCAACACCAAAATACTTCAAGCGTTTCAATCCATCTGCTTATGACTAGTAACGTCTGCTCCTTGATATTTCACAATCAATAATCAATTAGAAAAATAATTAAATTACTTTAAATTTCATACTAAATTGAACTCCCACAATAACCCATTAATCAAACAACTCTCCTCCATCTCACTTTCTGGTAATGTACATAGAAGAATCAAAAGACATTGGGCCTAGAAGCCCAGGAAAAAAAAGGGTTAACACAAATGTATATTTAATGTCTTTCACTTTCAGGCTCTATGGACTGATCGTTTAAAGCAAATAATGGACCCCAATTATGAATTTCCAAAAACTGATATCACTGAAAAAAAGTTCCTTGGTCAGTGTCGTCTTCACATAGGAAACTTGGTGGATACTGGATAGTACTGAAGAAGAATTGATAGAAATGTTCAAACCTTATGGAGAAGTTTTTGAAATTTTTTTTGTTAAAGAATTAATGATTGGCTCTATCAAATTGGTAAACTATTAAATAATTTTAATTGAATTGTAATAAATGTTAAGAGGGCCCTGTCTCTGTTGTCTCTGCTTACACACACGTTACATAATACATCTTTGTGCGTACTAGATTCTTACTATAATTTATTTATAGTTAATATTAGATAAAATTTACATAATATTGAATTTGTAGATGAGAATATAAACCGCTCTAGCAAATATTTTTTTCATATTTTATCTTAAAATGAGATAAATATTTGTATACTTGAATAATTTTTTTTTTTCCAAAATAGTTTTTCAATAAAAATATGAAAAAAACTTCTGCTCTCGTGCACAGATTAAATTTTTCCGACAAATTTGATGATATGTATATTTGATCTAATATTAATTATAAC